AATCAAGGTTATTTTCACCAAGCCTTTTAAAGAATGAAAAACAGGAGGGTTTATTTGACTGGAACCAGACAGTTAAGACCAGATTAGAAACACTAATTACACACAACAATTATTAGGACTGGAAACACAGACATTGTTAGCACTTTGGATAAGCATGGTCACGTTTATCAACGGAAATGGATATCAAACTATGTTACACACTAAATCCAGATATGTAAGGCTCTATTGTTACCAAAAAAGGTTTTCAGCAGTATTATCAGTAGAGTCTGCAGTGTACCTGGAATTATTACCACGAACATCCACTGCCTCAATGCCATGTGTGCTATAGCAATTGGACAGCTGCAAGATTGCCACAAGTTTGTGCATGCAAACAAAAGAGTTAAAAGGAGAGTGCAAATGCAGTGAATGCCTAGGACACTTGAAAAGATAGCAGATTCCTCCATCCATGCTAAACAGGTCATTGTATTTTAGCAGCCTGTCCTTGCAAGCAGTCAAACCAGTGACTGCATCTCACTGGATGCATTGACTTTTCAGCTGACCCATTTTTTTAATGAATCCTTTGATTTTTTTAATCAAGAGATTTTGGACAAAAGGTGGCTGAAAGGACCACCCACTGAGCAAATTTCTCAGGAACCTGTACGGTGTATGACCAGCTTTTTTGTGAAACTGCTGGGAATTTTAGTTATTCTGTTCCAGGCTTTATTATTAACAATTGCTGCACATTTTAAGGGCATTAGGATTCAATTAGTTCAATGGCCATATACAGTATTTATCTAACTAGCAGCTATTAGTCCCTTTACTTGGATAGGCTACCTTTTTATTGGGATGTCTGTTTGGTTGCCATTTTCTAGTTTTCCCATTACATTACTCTGATAAGCTTGATATGTTAGTCCATGCACATTTTTATGCAAAAAAAAGCATTCATTTATACATGTACAGTTTAAACTACTAACCATAAATGCTTGCACCGATAAAGGTATGGCTGCAGTTTTTCCAAATAGTGTGCATTCACATGAGTAGCAGTCAAGTCAAGTTCCTCAATTTCCATATGGACCAGGTCTAAGAAATATGCCACTACATCAAAGTCAATGGGTGAGAATACATTATCACTAATATTAAGACGTAGAACAGATGGTGTTATCCTACTGGCCAGGTCATTGTTCTGTTGCTCAAATAAACAGTGAAGCAAGTTCAGGATGTATCCCCCTTTTTCACAGTTCTCAGTAATTGACTTTATCAGCCATGTGGTATAAATTTCATACTTCTTGTTTGCTTGAAGGTTCAGATGTTTCTGTAGCAAAGCTTGGTTTCTAACTGATAGCAATCCAGAAACAAACCTTAGAAATAAATCCAGATATCCCGAAGCAATGTCCAATCGTTTCTGCACATCAAAATCCATGATGTTATCTAAGGGTTCCTCTTCATGAACATAATAAAAAGCTGCAAAAAATTCCTGGATGGTGAAATGGGTGAAGGACAGTACGTTCTCAACATATCCCAATTCTGGTACACAAGTCTTATCAAGAAAACTATTTACAATGTCACTTGGGAGTGTGCTAAACATTTCAAAGTCAGCCTCATAAAACAAGGTTTCATGCTTTAAAAGGGAATTGTATGCAATCTGTCCTAAACCAAGAACTCCTTTTAATGCCAAATCATTTTTTGTTAATGAGACTTGATGTGCATGGTATTTTAATAACACAATAAGGTAGTGACAGTAAATATCTGTCATTGTTTTTGGCCTTTCAATATGAAGATTAGAACATCCTTTTATAACACTGCAGACAATCCAGCAAAAAGCTGGGATATAACACAGTGTAAACAGAAAATGGTTCTCCTTAACCACAACAAATTGTTCACTTCCCACTTTCTTGTTTCCAAAAAATTTTTGAAAGTAGTCTTCAATTTCAGTAACAGAGAATCCAGTAATTATCACAAAGCGATCAATAAAATCAACCGGAATGTGGTTAATCGCTGTGTTGGCCTGCTGGTGAGCACAATATTAGCATTGGGGAGAAGTTCTCCTTTGATCAAACTCCCAATTAACTGAGGTAATTCCGCTTGCTCATCTGGATCAAACACAAATTCATCTAATTCTATCTGGTTGGATAACTTAAACTCATCAAATCCATCTAAGATCACAAGCAGCTTATCACTGTTTTTGAAAATCTCATCTAAAATCTGTGACAAATGTCCATGTTTTTTCAGTATAATTTCCCGCAAAGTTACTGGTTTATTTATTAAGTTGAGGTCCCTAAAAGTAAAATTCAGCACAAAGTCAAAATTTTGGTACAATTCTCTATTAGAGAAATCGAAAATTAGTTTTTGAACAAAAACTGTTTTTCCGATGCCAGCCACACCACTAACAAGGATTTTGTTGGGCAATCTCCTTTCGTTTGGTCCTTTCAAACAGCTGGCTCAGTTTTAGCTTATTCTCTTTTTTGTTCTGGAGGTCTATACGTTGTTGGCCAAATGTCAGCAATTCATTTTTCTTTATTTCCAGGCTGTAGTGTCCATTGACAAGAAGAAGGTTTACAAAATAATCAGAGAAGGCAAATTTCTCCCCATGTCTGCAGTTGTATGTGTTCATGCAGTCACTCCTCCTCAAAAGAATATCTCTGTGCTTCTGTATACTCTTTAAGTATTCTGGAAGAAAGAAAAAGGACAACTAATAAATGTATCTGAAAAATGAATAGTACATGCCATAAAGTCAATCTTTTTCTGTGGCCATGCAGGGCAAAGTACATCATTCACTTAAATTCCCCCTAGCACCATACATTTACAGGGATCCCATGTTGCTCTATTCAGTCACTAAGAACAAGGAAAGAAAAACTTGTGTAAGTCCAAAACCAACTTGTCAAAACTTACATAGGCCTTTGTACCTCTTCTCTGCTCCCATGTAACAGCGCTTGGCCAATCACAAGGCACCAGAGTTATCACATTAGAGAGTCGGAGTAACATGCTCAACCAAACTCAGAAACACAAGGTATTTTACTTAGCTATCAGTCCCAAAGTGGAGTGGCAGGGGAGCAAAAAACATTATATGCTTCCCTGGGGACCTAGGTGAACCTTTTCTGTGTCCTGCATGATGAAAGGAAAGGCTTGTTTTAAAAGCTTACAGTCATCACTTACAAACATATACAGTAGCTCACAGAAGTGAGTACACCCCTCACATTTTAGTAAATATTTTATTATATCTTTTCATGTGACAATGTCCAAATTGGGCCCAATTAGCTATTTTCTCTTCCTGGTCATGTGACTCAGTGTTACAAGGTCTCTGGTGTGAATGGGGAGCAGGTGTGTTAAATTTGGTGTTATCGCGCTCACTCTCTCATACTGGTCACTGGAAGTTCAACATGGCACCCCATGGCAAAGAACTCTCTGAGTATCTGAAAAAAAAGAATTGTTGCTCTACTTAAAGATGGCCTAGGCTATAAGAAGATTGCCAAGACCCTGAAACTGAGCTGCAGCATGTTGGCCAAGACCATGCAGCGGTTTAACAGGACAGGTTCCACTGAGAACAGGCCTCGCCATGGTTGACCAAGGAAGTTGAGTGCACGTGCTCAGCGTCATATCCAGAGGTTGTCTTTGGGAAATAGATGTATGAGTGCTGCCAGCATTGCTGCAGAAGTTGAAGGGGTGGCGGGGACAGCCTGTCAGTGTTCAGACCATATGCCACACACTGCATCAAATTGGTCTGCATGGCTGTCGTCCCAGAAGGAAGCCTCTTCTAAAGATGATGCACAAGAAAGCCTGCAAACAGTTTGCTGAAGACAAGCAGACGAATGACATGGATTACTGGAACTGCGTAGGCACACGGTGACGCACTTCCAGCGCGGATGCCATTTTACTACACCCAGCAAGTACACCCATGCAAATACACCCAGAACATGAGGTTCTAAATGCTTGCTGAGCAATGACTATATTGTGAGTGCAAAATTTGGAAGACTTTGCTTATTTTTGAATATAATAAAAGGTAATACTCTATGGGAAGTTCTACCTATGTTTTTACTGAGATATTGGCTTACACCACACCTGTACACTTGGAGAGGATATCGCCACCAATACGTACATTCCTGAGAGGGAGATCGTTGCAGGGAGAGGTACACAGTGACAGAGGAATCATGTACATGGAGGATCCAGTGTTGTGATCCTAAAAGTGTTTTGACCCCTGCGGATCGAAGCAAGGAGGTGAGCGGCTAATTCAGCTACTTACGGATATCCTTCTGTGGTTACGCATATTCACTATCCACGGGCATGAGTGTCTTTTTATTGGATTGCGTGGTGCTTTAGCACCAGTTTGGACTTTTTTCACATATATTTAGTTCTGTGTCATGCGTTTAAGATTGCATGTTTATTTCCATGTAGTGTAACACAAACATTTTCACTTCCGTGTTTATTTATTGATTTATTTTTATTTTTATTGTCACTTGACCTATATTTTTATTTAAATTTTTTTGTATAGAAACACTATTCAGTGTTTGAGTTGAAATATTTTCTGATATTTAGTGTTTGTGCGCAATTATTTATAGAAGTATTCACTTGCATGTATATGCGTTTTCATTTGATTGGAGTCTCATTTTTGGACAATATTCACTTATTAGTCCCATTTGGACTAGTTTATTTTCTGGTTGATTATCCACCATCACTTTAGATCCCACTTAGGATCTATTTACTTTTATATCATACTTGTTGTAAGTATTGGTACACATATTTCTGTTATTGCCATCACCTTGGAGGTTTACCATTTACTTTGCTCACTTTGGATCCGTAGAGGATCAGGTCACGTTCAGACACTTATAGATCCCATGTGGATCAGGTCACGTTCATGAAATTTGCACTTTGTGTCACTTTATATATTTTTATCACATTTATTTATTAAATTATGCATTTATGAGTTTATGATATGTGATTTATTCATTAATCCATTTGAGTAGCGCTACATCATTTTTCCTCACTTATGGGTGTACTCACTTTTGTTACCAGCGATTTAGACATTAACCTCCCTGGCGGTATTCCCGAGTGTAGCTCGGGGTAAGGTTTCAGTACCAAAAGCGGTAACCCCGAGCTACACTCGGGAATACCATGCGGCGCTGCTCCACGATCCCTGTATCACTTACCTTGTCCTGCGCTCCCACGATGTCCCTCCTGCAGTGTCCCCGACAATGTAATCCGGCGGATGCCGGCATCTGTCATCTGGGTTCCGTCCCCTGTGAGCGTCGGGACGTACGGGGGACGGAACGGCGGGAAATTCAAAAATGACAAAAAGTGACATTCACTAAAATCACTAAAATCACATAGTATTCCATTACTGTATCAAACCATTTCACATAAATTTTGTCCCTAGTGCTTTGTCCTGTGCCCTGCCTGCATTTTTACTGTTCTTATTGCCTGGAAACTGAGAAATGTCCATGGTGTCCAAAAAGCGTCACTTTAGGTCAAAAGCGGTTTTAGATCAGCTAGAGAACAGCGATAGTAAATCAGAACCACTTGCAGAATTGAGTGATAATGATTTGTGGGGAAATTCGTCATCAAACAGTGAAAACGATTTTGCGACTTTGCTCAGTGATGTGCAAACTTGGCGCTATATTTCAAATTTAAGTGTTTTTGGTTTGATTATATTATTAAATTAAATTTATTATATTATTATTTTTATGATTATTTATTAAATTATAATTTATGATTACGTGTTTCAAATTTTATCATACCCGGGATGTTTACTAGACTCTTGTTCGGACAGATTTCAGTGAGTTATTCCTAAAAATTACAGCCCTACAATTAAAAAAAAACATATTTCCATGCAAAAAAACGGTACCGCTTTCAGCACCACCAAAAATCTGAAATAATCATACCGCCAGGGAGGTTAATGGCTGTGTGTTGAGTTATTTTGAGGGGACAGCAAATTTACACTGTTATACAAGCTGTACACTCACTACATTACATTATAGCAAAGTGTCATTTCTTCAGTGTTATCACATGAAAAGATATAATAAAATATTTACAAAAATGTGAGGGGTGTACTCACTTCTGTGAGATACTGTATGCATAGGCAGGCACTAGGACCCACAGAGGATAACAGCAAAAAAAGGGGAAGGCATAAGGGCAGGAGAGTGCAAGGAAGGAGAATATGTAACTTGTTGGCTATTATGGTGGTAGTTTGGGACCTGCATGTTCCATTTAATTGAGGATTCATGGAGTAGTTGACAATCCTTCCTTCCTGAGTAGTCCTGCTCTCTGCATTTCCACGGTGTTCTTTAATTAATTTATGAAAGAGGAATTTGCTCAGCCATCCTTTATTGTCTAAGCACAAAAATCACACATTCCCTCTTCCCTTCTTTTAATTTTTCATTGCTGTAATAATCTGATATTGAGACAATGTTACTGAAAGGCTTTCAAAAATGCTAAATTCTGTTTGATTTATGTTCAAGGAAAATCAGCAATACTCAGTATGATCTCATGTTAACACTTATAGGTCCTAAAAAAGGACATATTTATATATTTATTTTTTTATTTATTTCAGGTACTTATACAGCGCCGTCAATTTACGCAGAGCTTTCCACATATATACATTGTACATTCACATCACATCAGGCATATTTCCATGTCTTAAGAAGAATCAGTTACAAATCGGCTTACATACAGTAAGAATTTGAATCGCACCTCATTTATTATAACTGTGCAAGCTTACATATAAAGATATACTGTATATTTGCCCCCTTATTTAGATTTAGGTTTTTTTTTTTGCTGTCTTTAGCAACTAGGAAAGTGAACCTTACTCAGTTGTAAATGTTTTAAAAGTAAATATTCTGCCTAACAACAGACATTCTGAGATTTCTGCAATTACCTTCATTAGTCCAAAAAGCCTCTTCTGTGCATTCCTCTGATCAAGTTTCACTTGTTACTGGGGCCTGCCGTTCCAGTAACAGTGCCTTTTCTGGCCAAGAAGACAATCTATTTGGACACTGGAAATGCAGTTGGCATGACTTAGATATTAGGGCAGAGGAAGTCAGGCCCTATAAATAAAGTGAAACTATATCTGAGAGGGGCACAGAAGATGCTTTTTAGGGTATTAAACATAACACCAAGCATCCAATAGCATCATTGATGCTTAGGGTCCTTTTCTTTTTATGCTCTGGTGGTGGGTGGTCCTGGGTGATGTAGTGCCACTCTCTGCATCATTATAATGTGAATGAAGGGCACCATGGTGAGCCCCCTCAGGGAGCAGGCGCATGATGCCCTACACTCACGGTATCTTCTATCTCTTTAGTCTTCTAGATTGAACAATGTTCGGTAATATTACACCAAGATGAAAGAGCACATCTTATGGGGAAAAGAAATACGGTTCACCTTTAAAAAAAAATAAATATACATCTTTTTTGCACACACCTTGTACATGCAAGCAGATACACACTGACAGGAAGAGACAATCAACTACTACAGCGCTCAACGACGCCTTGGTAATCCATTGATAACTACAAGAAGACAACCACTAAGGCTGTCGGTGTGACGATCGCAAGTCAGACCCCTGACCTTCTCACCAAACTCGTGACCGAAGGACAAGCCAATCTGAAACTGCGATGTCACGTGCGTAACAATGCCATGCCCAGCTGCACCCTGCACAACGATTTTCCAGCTAATGGACCACAGATCGATGTACCGGCAGCCTGGGAGCGATTTTTACTGGGTCAGGTTAATTACGCAATTAACCCTTCACACTGCCACCACCTCCTTTTTGTACAGAGAAAGAGGAAACTCAGCAATATCAGCAAAACACTATGATGGTTGAGATAATCGTCTGTATAGCACTGTCACCGCAGACAGGTTATACAGAGGGTTAAACAAACACAGTAGGGCTCTTTTAGAGGCAGGAATTCATAAGTTGCATTAACAAGCTATAGAAACAGTTCAACACTTTCAGAAGGAAAGATTTATTACTAAAAGGTCAAAAGGGTGCAATAAAAATATTTACAGAAAAAAGATGTAAGCAATATATATATATAAATATACAGAGAACAACAGCACAGCAAAACGATAACAGAAAGAAAGTGTAGGTAGGTAAGTACTTGCCAAAAAGCCTTGGATTAAGCAGTTTCAAGTCTTATGAGCTCCAGGATGCTTTTCTTGTCTCTACTGCTAGTTTCATTGGTACATGGCAGGAGACGCTGCTTTCTCTCTCACACAAAAAGCATAACATCCTTTTTCTAGCAAAATCAGCGGGGTGTCTTCTTACAACAGAAAGCCAATTGCCTTATTTGGGAAGAGGGTTGTGTAAAGGGAGCTCAGGCTTTTTGAACTCAGCAAAAACATACACCAATCGCATTCCTGAGAGAGGGGGAATGATGGGACAACATGAAGAATTCTTAACAGAATGGAGGGTCATGTCTATCTCTGTGGGCATGATTGCTACAGTCGGTACTTGTAGTTTTCCATTTACAGAATTCTGCTGAGTTTTTTCTGTAAATACTGAAAGCTAGCAGGGAAGAAGATCCCCTGCTAGTTGTTACTAGATGCAGCAGAGTGGGCAGTGGCTCTGGCAGTAGGATCATGTTGCATGTTCCTCCCAAAAAAACAGGTGTAACATGTAACATGTTCCCAAAGGTGAACTTATCCTATAAAATCTCTGTTGCCTGAAGTTGGGCTTTAAAGTCTAACTTCAAAAGGGAACTTTAGGTTATAATATGTGTGTCCAGCTATAGACCTTGTTACAATATATTTAAAAATTGGATATGTACTTACCATTTTCTGAGTCCATACAATTTTTTGAGCTTTTAATACGTATGAAGAGATCACAGAAAACTGATGCATTTTCTTCGCCAAGGCAGTCAATAAGATCCAATAGTCTTCTGACTTGTTTTCTGGGCCCTGCCCCATAGGTGACTTCCTCAAAATCATCTTTTGTCAGCAAATGTTTTTGTTTTGCTTGTTCAAGAATAGATTCAATACACTCTTCTAGTTCTTCCACAAGCTCTACACGGTACTTCTGTAAAAACAATAGTGAAGATTCCCTAGGAAAAATAAAAATGAATTATTAACAGATTAACCAATTCAGCTCTTGTGACTGTTTACCCCCCATGGATCAGGGCAATTTGTTTACTAGCAAACCATCTTGCTGGGACTTAATCTAATTATGATGTACCTGTTGCCTGCCCTGTCTTCAGATTGTCTCTAGATTGCTAACAATCTACTACCAGCCCTCTGAACGTTTGTACAGATATGCTAAACCTCAGTTCAGATCCTCCTGATTAGTGATTGTCTAAACACCCACTTGTTCGGTTCGCGGTCGGACATTTGAACCTAAAGAAAGTTCTACTGCGAACATTGAACATGGGCCTTTAGGCCTGGTAGGGCTTTCAAGGGGAATCCCACCCCCTAAAAATGTGGGGGAGCATGGTGTCCCCCTTAAATTCTTACCAGACCCTTGATCTGAGAACAGGCCTGGCAGGTCAGGAAAGGGGGGGACAAATGAGGGCTCCCCCCTCCCTGGGCCTTACCATGGTGTCCCCATGCCGATGAGGACAAGGGCCTCTTCCCCACAACCCTGGCCGGTGGTTTTGGGGGTCTGCAGGCGGGGGGTTTATCGGCCCCCAATGTGAATAAGTACCCATTCACAAAAAAAAAGTGTAGTGTAAAAAATTACAAGAGACAGTCTTTGACAACTCCTTTATGAAAAAATAAAAATAAAAAAAATGTCCCCCCAAAGTAGATCCAACGTCAATCATAATGCCTGCCACCGGGATGACAGTTCCTAAATAGGGTGATGATGTCACAAAGGACATGTGGTCATGGCCTGTGGTCATGTGCTATGTTTTGGCCAATCACAATGCAATGTTAGGGCGCAGTGCATTGTGAGGAGTGCGGGACTGTTCACCCACCAAACACCCATGCTGTTCATGAGTTCGACTCGAACATGTAGACCATCACTACTCCTGATTACTCTTTCCTGTTTCCTACACCAGCAGGCCAGAAATTGCAGGTCCTGGTATGCAATTATAGGATTGCATACCAGGACCTGGGGGAAACCAAGTACCAGTAGCCCTGCTTGCCTTAAGGGAATGGAGACTATTAAATATAAAGCAACACTTGCCAGCTGTAATTTTTGAATCTTGGCATCAGGGGGGAATGTTAGGAAGTAAATGTGTGGGGGCTTCCTAAAGTAGGTTTCCAAATGTCAGAATAGTAGAAATAGGCTAGAAATCATTGAAATTCAATGTGGAAATTAATATACACTATTAGATTTTGTCCAAAGATACACTTTCAACTAAAAACTGAGTCTGGTTTCACATTTTTGTGTTGTGGTAGTTCACAATGTGAAGTGTGTTGTGTTGCAGAGAGTCGT